GGGGGCCAGCCACTCTCCACCAGAGAACGTTTGATGACGGCCTGAAGCACCGCGTCCGGCGTGGAAATCATCCCACCCCACCGTGTCACCCGGGCTGGCTGCAGGGAGTTCACCCACCTGGTGACAGATATGGGGACAAATGGTCAGTCTGGCATGTTTTTGGTGGCTCCAACCAGCCTTGAGGAGCTGGTCCCCTCTGGTGACAGATATGGGGACAAATGGTCAGTCCCTGTGGCCAGTTCCTCTCGTGGGCGTTCTCGATCAGCTCGTTGATGATGGACGTGGGCCAGCCACTCTCCACCAGAGAACGTTTGATGACGGCCTGAAGCACCGCGTCCGGCGTGGAAATCATCCCACCCCACCGCGTCACCCGGGCTGGCTGCAGGGAGTTAACCCACCTGGTGACAGATATGGGGACAAATGGTCAGTCTGGTATGTTTTTGGTGGCTCCAACCAGCCTTGAGGAGCTGGTCCCCTCTGGTGACAGATATGGGGACAAATGGTCAGTCTGGTATGTTTTTGGTGGCTCCAACCAGCCTTGAGGAGCTGGTCCCCTCTGGTGACAGATATGGGGACAAATGGTCAGTCTGGAATGTTTTTGGTGGCTCCAACCAGCCTTGAGGAGCTGGTCCCCTCTGGTGACAGATATGGGGACAAATGGTCAGTCTGGAATGTTTATGTTTTTGGTGGCTCCCACCAGCGTTGAGGAGCTGGTCCCCTCCGCACCAGGGATTGAAACTGGATGGGGAAGGTCTCCATTTCCCCACCCACCCCTCCTCTGTTTTCACCCCCAAACAGGACCCAGCTGCAGGGTTCAGCTCTGCCACCCCCTCCCCAGAGGGATGGGAAGAAAGGACGAGGTGAGAAGCTGCTTCCTCTGGCCTTTCTCCCAAGGAGGAAGGAACTTGGCAGCTTCCTGCGGGTGGGCAGGATGTAAGTGGAAGAATGAGAATGCTCCAAAGCCATTGTGCAGCAGCTGACGTGCTGCCCCCCACCACAAACACCCCACAAACACCCTTTGTTTTTGTCAAGCATTTTCTTCTCAACCTGCATCTTTGCTTCGGAAGGTGCTTCACCCCCCTCCTCAAATCCATCAGCGAAGCTGGTGGATTCCCAGCTCTGCTCCCAGCCTGACCCAGGGCTCCCCAGCTCCTCCCTGATCATCAGAAGCACCAGCACTTACTCCAGGATCTCATTGTACTCGATGGTTTCCTCCAGGTTCTGCAGGTTGGGGTTGACGCTGCGGATGGCGCGCATGTAGGCCTTCAGCAACTGAATGTCCCGTTTCTACAACAGGCAGGACACAGAGAGGGGGGTTTGTAAAACAGAGTCACCACCGTGGTTACACACCCCAGGAGCAGACCCCAGCGCAGTGACATGGAGTCCCAGGAGCTGGATGAGGTGCAGGAGAGCAGCAGAGCCCCACCTGCAGCCCCTTTCTTCATCCACAAACCTTTTATTGGTGTTTGATGTTCACCTAGGTGACACTGACCTGATCCTTCCCATGAGAGACCCCCCTCTGTGGGACCCCTCCTCACACACACATGGACCTACCTGCTCAGCCAGCTGATGTTTGTGCTCTGCTGAGGTCTTCTCCAGCTCGGCGATTCTCGTTTGCTGCTGCTGCACCACGGATCTTAGATGTTTAATGCAGTTGTGGTTGGGCAGCTCATCTTTGGGCATTTCCAAGCTGGGGAGTGTTACAAAAAAAAAGGTGGAGGCCCCACATTAAGGAGAGTGACACACCAGAGAGCTTGGCATAAGCACATCAACAGTCTCCAGAACAGATCTGGCCTTGGAGGACTTGCCAAGAGGATGAGGAAGGTCAGCACCATCACCTCTGACAGCTGTAGGAAGGCCTGGTCCCTACCTGCTGTACCATGAGACACCAAATGGGCTGGGGCCTACAGGAACAAACCACCACAAGGTTGGCAAACAATGAGGATTTTCCTCCTCCAAAGTCATCAGGGCTCAGAACCAGCCCCACACCAGACAGCCCACGAGCCTCATCCAGTCTCTGACTTCATCCAAGGAGATCTGATCGTCTCCAAGCCAAGAGTCAGTCACCACCTGGCTGGATGCTCACAACACGTGAGTGGGAAGGAGCACCCAGAGCAGGTGCCGAGGCCAGACCAGCCACCCACCGCTCCTGGCTTTCCATGACATGCAGGAGGGAGCAGAGCTCATGTTGGAACTTGTCCCCAGGAGCTGGGATGGCTCTGGGCAGGGTCACAACAGCTCCAGTACCCCGTTTCCAGCAGCCAATTGATATCTAAACCCCAGCAACAAGCTGAAGAGCCTGGGATTTTGAACCAAGTTTAAAAGGAAAGGGTTTGACTAAAAATCCTTCCCAATCCTTTCCCCAGCACCATGACCTTCAAAGCCCTGCTACCCCTGGAGCTCTGCATCCATAGAATCAGAGAATGGTTTGGGTTGGGAGGGACCTTAAAGACCATCCAGTTCCAACCCCCCTGCCATCAGCAGGGGCACCTTCCACTAGACCACGTTTCTCAAAGG